ATGGAGGGTCCCATACTTTTGGCAATATAGTGTATGTAGAAGCCGGGGCCCCGGGGTCAGCTCTGGGAATCGGAGGCCGGGGCCCCGGGGTCAGCTCTGGGAATCGGCATTCTCTCTCTCTCGGGGTGACAGCTGGGGGCATTTTTAGAAGCGCGCGGGGGGACAGTTGTAGGACGGACTCATCAATCTCTGTCACCTCGTCCTCCATCTCTGACCTCCATGTGACTCGGGTCACATAGCAACGCGTCCAATAATAGAAGAGCCGAGAGCGCGTCCAGCGCCGAGCAGAACACCCATCCCCCCGATCTGGAAGTCAGAGGTGTGCAGCAAAACATCGCCCCCCCAAACCTGGAACCCCGAGATCTACCAGGAAGCCGCCATGGGATCAACCAATAGGGACACAGCAACCACTGACGGCGGGGGAGGGGCATCTGCGATGGTGTGTAGGTGGCCCCCCCTCTCCTGATATACTCTGCTCCTTCCTCCATAACAGGTGTCCCCCCCCCGTTGGCTGGAATGTTTAGATCAGTTGATTGATGGAGGAGCGTGTGTCAGGTGGGGGAGGGGGAGGAGACTAGAATTTCGGCTGAGTGGGCAGGAAGTGTGTGCTCTGTATACGTCTCCCCCTGCTGGCGGGTGTGCTGAGTAATGGAGGTCAGGGAGTGTTGGGGTCTCATAGTGGAACCATCGATGGGACATGACAGTCCTTGTGAAGTCTCCTCGGTAATGACATGTAGATGGAGATCATGTGATCAGGGCTGCAGGTCACATGGTGGAGGCGGAGCTCCAATTCCAATCATATTGGTTAAATAATGTCACGTGATGTGCCCTATGGAGGGATGTCACATGTACAATGTCACAGAAGAACACAGGAAGGGGCGGGATCTCGGGATAGTGAACATTCTCTCTTCCATGATTCTGCCGCTTCCCCCCCAACTGTCACTGCATGAAGGCGGAGCGTCCAAACCCCGAAACGCGTTACATAAAACATGACTTTGGGGCCCTTAGATGATCGGCTTCTTGTATAGGTGCGGATTGTAATGACAGGTCCTCTGTACACCTCTCTATGAACATACTACACGTCACAACATACAATTGTATCAGTAACAGGTCATGTGACTGAGCCAAGAGGAGCATCCTGGGAGAATGATGTCATCAGTCTTCTGCAGGCAGGAGGAAGCGTGTCCTCAGTCTCCCCTCCCCCAGTGATCAGGCTGCTGCAGGCAGGAGGAAGCGTGTCCTCAGTCTCCCCTCCCCCAGTGATCAGTCTGCTGCAGGCAGGAGATGGGGATTACAGGGATGGGGATGAGGACGGGGATGAGTAGGAGGATGGGGATGAGGAGGAGGACGGGGATGAGGAGGATGGGGACGGGGAGGAGGATGGGGATGAGGGGGATGAGGAGGATGACGGGGATGAGGATGGGGACGAGGAGGAGGACGGGGATGAGGAGGATGATGAGGAGGAGGACGGGGATGAGGAGGATGACGGGGATGAGGAGGAGGACGTGGAGGAGGATGGGGATGAGGATGGGGACGAGGATGATGAGGACGGGGACGAGTAGGAGGACGGGGATGAGGAGGATGATGGGGATGAGGAGGAGGACGGGGATGAGGAGGAGGATGAGGATGGGGACGAGGAGGATGAGGATGGGGACGAGGAGGATGGGGACGGGGAGGAGGATGAGGAGGATGATGGGGATGAGGAGGAGGACGGGGATGAGGAGGAGGATGAGGATTTTTTTTAGATCTACCAGGAAGCCGCCATGGGATCAACCAATAGGGACACAGCAACCACTGACGGCGGGGGAGGGGCATCTGCGATGGTGTGTAGGTGGCCCCCCCTCTCCTGATATACTCTGCTCCTTCCTCCATAACAGGTGTCCCCCCCCCGTTGGCTGGAATGTTTAGATCAGTTGATTGATGGAGGAGCGTGTGTCAGGTGGGGGAGGGGGAGGAGACTAGAATTTCGGCTGAGTGGGCAGGAAGTGTGTGCTCTGTATACGTCTCCCCCTGCTGGCGGGTGTGCTGAGTAATGGAGGTCAGGGAGTGTTGGGGTCTCATAGTGGAACCATCGATGGGACATGACAGTCCTTGTGAAGTCTCCTCGGTAATGACATGTAGATGGAGATCATGTGATCAGGGCTGCAGGTCACATGGTGGAGGCGGAGCTCCAATTCCAATCATATTGGTTAAATAATGTCACGTGATGTGCCCTATGGAGGGATGTCACATGTACAATGTCACAGAAGAACACAGGAAGGGGCGGGATCTCGGGATAGTGAACATTCTCTCTTCCATGATTCTGCCGCTTCCCCCCCAACTGTCACTGCATGAAGGCGGAGCGTCCAAACCCCGAAACGCGTTACATAAAACATGACTTTGGGGCCCTTAGATGATCGGCTTCTTGTATAGGTGCGGATTGTAATGACAGGTCCTCTGTACACCTCTCTATGAACATACTACACGTCACAACATACAATTGTATCAGTAACAGGTCATGTGACTGAGCCAAGAGGAGCATCCTGGGAGAATGATGTCATCAGTCTTCTGCAGGCAGGAGGAAGCGTGTCCTCAGTCTCCCCTCCCCCAGTGATCAGGCTGCTGCAGGCAGGAGGAAGCGTGTCCTCAGTCTCCCCTCCCCCAGTGATCAGTCTGCTGCAGGCAGGAGATGGGGATTACAGGGATGGGGATGAGGACGGGGATGAGTAGGAGGATGGGGATGAGGAGGAGGACGGGGATGAGGAGGATGGGGACGGGGAGGAGGATGGGGATGAGGGGGATGAGGAGGATGACGGGGATGAGGATGGGGACGAGGAGGAGGACGGGGATGAGGAGGATGATGAGGAGGAGGACGGGGATGAGGAGGAGGACGGGGATGAGGATGGGGACGAGGAGGATGAGGACGGGGATGAGGAGGAGGATGAGGACGGGGATGATGAGGATGGGGATGAGGAGGAGGACGGGGATGAGGAGGATGGGGACGGGGAGGAGGATGGGGATGAGGAGGATGATGAGGAGGAGGACGGGGATGAGGAGGAGGACGGGGATGAGGAGGAGGACGGGGATGAGGAGGATGACGGGGATGAGGAGGATGGGGATGAGGAGGATGATGAGGAGGATGACGGGGATGAGGAGGATGACGGGGATGAGGAGGAGGACGGGGATGAGGATGGGGATGAGGATGGGGACGAGGACGATGAGGATGGGGACGAGGAGGAGGACGGGGATGAGGAGGATGATGGGGATGAGGAGGAGGACGGGGATGAGGAGGAGGATGAGGATGGGGACGAGGAGGATGAGGATGGGGACGAGGAGGATGGGGACGGGGAGGAGGATGAGGAGGATGATGGGGATGAGGAGGAGGACGGGGATGAGGAGGAGGATGAGGATGGGGACGAGGAGGATG